AATGGATTGGATGCTTCGTAAAGAAGGCATACTTGAGATTATAGTTAAGGTTGTAAAATGCTGCCTCTTAAAATGTTACACAATTACACTTAATCCAATTAACAGTAAAATAATGCTACTATTCGTGCCAAAACAAATTTGACCTCAAGCGGAATACTGTTTGTTTTTGTTCGTAATGGCTTAGAAACCCCCGAAACCCCAGGCTGATATTTATTTTCTATATTTCGAGTTAATGAAAACGCTCACCCCCACGAGCAGCGTGCTGCATTTATTTTGCTAGGTGCTTATATCTTTTTTCTCTTGGTCTCTTGCCGAGCCATTAAAAAATGTGATCAACATTCAATGTGGAGACGAGGCAAATGAGTACGATGGATATCTTGCAATCATCACAGCGTTGGAGTCAACAGTTCAAATTGTCCCACGTGCTAAACTCACCATTTGTGTCGTTGCTTCCGTCAAATAAACCAACACAAACTCCAATTCTCAACTGACTCGGAGTTAATGTTACGTACAAACCACAGGAGTTGGCATGGACCCTGGTGCAAGGCGAAATTAAATTGCCCCCCTTCCACCACCAGGCACCACGGTAGCGAGATGTTAACTACCTCACCTGGTATACATGAGGTCGTGGGTTCGATCCTGACCCTGACGCCTGTATATTTGGAGTTTGCGCGTCTCTTTCCCCATGGTCGCGCGGATTTTTCTCCAGGTCCTGCGGTTTTTCCCTCCACATTTAGAATCGACACGCGTTTAGAACATTTCGCCGCTGCAAATGTCCACGTGATGAGCCACTTCGTTGAGCTATCATTTGTGGCCAGGTGGCTTCTGAAAAAGAGCTACAGTGGGCCTTGCCTGGTAAAATAAAATACATAAAATGAAAAAGAGTGAAATGCCCCCCCCCCCCCCCCCGCTCTTCTGAAGCCTGGCACCTTGGCCCCTCCGCCCGCCCCGTGGGCCGTTGCACCATCCGCGCGCACCTTGATAGCTGCGCCGTTGGCCGCGGTGGAGAACGACCAGAACGCCACAGTGCTGCATCATCGTCATTGCAACGGTGTTCCTTACGCAACAGCGGAGTAACCTTAACCGAACATCGACGGTGTGGAATTTCCCGTGTGTCAAGCGGTCTGTTAAACTTTTCAGCGGAGGAAGACTCCGCTCTCGCACGGCTGCTCGTCTTGCTGCTGCTGCTGCCTTAACGAATCCCGACACGAGACCCTGTCATCGTTCAATCTTCCCACCATTGTGTGTGGGGGGGGGGCAGGCTTTCACGATACGACGGGTCACTGGAGCCGCTCCTGTTAACCCAGAGACCTTGGCCGTGACATCACAATGTTTGTAGAGTATCGTATATCAGCCGATGTCGTTTTCGTCAGGCGTGGTCGGTGCAAGCCTCCGATTCGGCGCTTTGGAGAGCGCGGCTTGGTGGATAACGGCGATATTTGTGAAACTCGTGCACCCGCTGGGCTGCTAGGCCACCTGCTGATGGCAGCTACGGAGAGAGAGGATCTATGAACACATCTGTGCGGACCGTCGAATGTTGTTTTCCCATGTGTGGGTTTTCTCTGGGTTAGCCCTGTTTTCATCCACACACACAACACATTCCTTTAAAAAAATGGCCAAATGCAAAAAAGACTCCTGCTAAAAGGGTGTTATATAAGACACGTCTGTGCATGTACACAAAGGAGCGAGTGTATTCACTCACTGGCGGCTGGGAGCGGTGGTGCAGAGGTCCGTACACTGCGCTGAGAAAAACGAGAACCTGAGTTTGATTCCTGGCCATGGCCAACATCAGTGAGGATTATCTGAACCAGTCATGCATTTACATAATGAATCTCCTGCTATACGTATGCGCTGCGTACCTGGGAAATGTATTACAGCGAACGCTAATGTCCCATGGACATAGCATTTAAAAATCAGGGATTGTATTCCTATCCGAAAATAAAATGCGTGGCTTAAAAACAAAAAACTAAAAAAGCTAACGTACATTTCCACTCGTAATAAATACTTCATATTCCTTGGCATGCGCAGAGACTACAACGGGAGCCGGGTTACTCATCCAGCATCGCGTTGCACAAATCGCGCTCGTCGCTCCCTCATTAATAATTCTTCAAAGCGCCGCTCTTTAAACGTCACACTCCGGGGGCCCACCGAACGTGTCGGCTGGCGACTGCTTCCCGGCGTGCAGTTTTTTTTTTTGGCGACCATGTGCCAGCCAATCTGCCCCATTACCAACAACAGCGGGAGGGCATTTGCCGAGGTGATGGCGTTTGAGAAGTGCGCCCGCGTGCGCGATAAGATGTCAATCTCGCGTGAGATATTTTGCGTGCGTTGTTAAGCCACGCTCGGGCTGTAAGGCACGTACTATATTTATTACAGCCAACAACGTCTTATTTTCCATCGAGTATTTTCTGGGGGGGGGGGGGGGGGGGGGGGTAACCTCCTCAGATGCTGTGGGGCATGGGGAAATGTTTCCAGAGGTCAGCCCTAACACAGCTTCATCTGAAATTAAACTGCTAATTACAGCCGGACATATTGGATGAGATAATGTGTAATTGTTACGTTGCCTCTCAAAAGAGTTCCAATTCTCTCTGTGAAATTTCGTGCTGCGTATTGCGTGCGAGCAGAATAATTCGACGCCAAATGAACGACGAGGTAGACAAGCGCTTGGAACGAGAGGCACGCACTTTAAAAGCTGACCCCGTGTCGCCTACAACGAGGCGCGTCCGTTAATGCAACAAAAAACCGCAGAAGTGCAATGAACTGCTCCCCGTCGCGTTGGTGTTTGTCGGTGGTGTGCGCGGTGTGTGCGGTGTGCACGGTGTGTGCGGTGTGCGTGGTGTGCGTGGTGTGCGTGGCGTGCGTGGTGTGTGTGGGGTGTGCGCGGTGTGTGGGGTGTGTGGGGTGTGTGTGGTGTGTGCGGTGTGTGCGGTGTGTGTGCGGTGTGTGTGCAGTGTGCGTGCGGTGTACGCGGTGTGTGTGGGGTCTGCGGTGTGTACATGGTGTGCGCGGTGTGCGTGGTGTGTGTGGGGTGTGCGTGCGGTGTGCGTGCGGTGCACGCGGTGTGTGTGGGGTGTGTGCGGTGTGTGTGCGGGGTGTGTGTGCGGTGTGTGTGGTGTGTGTGTGTGGGGTGTGTGTGTGGGGTGTGTGCGTTTTGCGATCTCTCTGGGAGCGGCAGGCAAGGGTCCTTGCCGCGAGGGGGTGAGTCGGCGCTTGCTGTGTGCCCGCGCTTCTCCCTCCAGCCACGCCGGGATGGCGTCGGGTCACGACCCCACATTCTGGCTCCTTGACAAAGCACTCGCCCCCCCCCCCCAAACCCGCTGCTCCCTCCCTTCTGACCACCATCAACCTCCACCACCACTAATCCACGCCGTCTCCTCCTGTCCCTCCCTCCCCCCTTCCTCCACCTCTCCCCTGCCTCCGCGAAACTTCACGTCGGCTTAAAGAGAGAGCGAGAGAGAGAAAAAAAACCTCTCGAGCCCATCGTCTCCTAGGCGCCCAGAGCAGCTGCTCCTTTTGAGATTCCTCTCTGCATGGGGCGGGGAGGGGAGGGGGGCGGCGAGGAGGGGAGGGGAGGGGGCCGGTTGTTGATGGTGTCGGGGGCGAAGGCACGAAGTTGCGTGTGGCCGAGTGGGCATGGCAAGGGACGAAGCAGTGGGGGGGGGGGGGGGGTACATGGCGGGTATTGAATGGGGCCACGGCACACGAATAGCGCAGGAAGCCGTGGGGGTGGGGGGGGGGGAGTTCAGTGGAAGGCGTTTAATTAGGTGGTGGGATTTGTGCGATGGTGTAATGATCACAATGGGAGTCCTGCCCAAATTCCACTCGTAAGCCAAATCGGTTACAGGAGATTTAAGCGACGACACTGCCAGTGTTGTGTAGCTCCTGCCAAAATTCAAGCGTTAATATTTGCAATTAAAGGAAATGGAAACCGGTCACGTGCCACCAATCGGTAATGTATCGGCGCTGAAACGTTACCGCGTCAGCTTCATTAAGACCGCTTCCGAGGAGGGATTGTTTGCAATGCGCAATCGTTAAACACAGACTGGATTAGCGGAACTCGCAATTACATCTCGGTGACGGATCCGAGCTGCGTCACTCGATGGTTCTTGTATCTTCTACGCGTGCCGACAGTCGATGCGTTAACACCCCGGGGGGGGGGCTTTATTCGAGATGAATTAAGACGAGGCCGATTTCCCCCTCTCTTCTTTCTTGCGAGGAACGCGACTCCACCGGTAGTGGTCACGCCACCCGCCTTGTTCATTTGGCACAAGCTCGCTGGTGACGGTGGTGGTGGTACGACAACAACCCCCCCGCCCCCCCAGAAATAGACTTGGAACAGGGAGTAGATCAGGCAACGCTCCTGACGTGCGTTTCAGCGGTTTTATTTTTCGCGTCGTCACCATTCTCATTCTGTTCAAAATCAACGAAAAAGCAAAAGGCGCTCGCCGCAAGGCGCTCGCGGAGCGGGGAGAGCGGCGTTCCAAGTCCAGCAGACAGCGTGGGGCGAGAGGACGCGGGGCCTCTCGCCTTGTCCCCCCGTGGCTCGAGTCGAGTGGCACAGCCATCGAGCGCACACACGCCGCCACTGCCCTGGCAGAGGAGCGCTGTTACCGGGCTACGAAGGAGGCGGCGGAGTTATAGGACAGCAGAGGAGACCCCAAACCCCTCCCCCCATTGAATTCCTTGCACGGGGGCACCACGACTCGTGGCCTCCCGATACCGCTTAATGACCTCTTCGTTTATCGCGAGGAGACACTCCCCACGCGGATTTATTGTTGGCCACACGCTGCAGGGCAAGATTGGGTTGTGTTTCAAGTAGCGGTCGCCTTGCAGATTAGCCGCTAGGGATCGAGGCGAAGATTTGGTTGTTTTGTTTAATCGAGAATTTGTTTTTGCGGAAAAATCCGTGGGGTTTTCATTAACTGGTTTGTTCGTCTCTGCAATCTCCCCCCTCTCCCCCAAAAACAATCAGTCTTAATTCATTGGAAACAAGTCTGCACACTTATTAAAGCTTTTAGTTACACGTACACATATACAAATAAAAAAGAACTTCGGCTTAAATAAACAAGAATACAACATTTTTTGTACATTTTAAATAAACGACAGTGTTTTTTCATAACCAATGGAGATCTCACAGGAATGCGTAATCCGAAAACGAGCCACCAATTACCCGGCCTTTTTTACACGCGTAAAACAAAAACAAAGATCCCCCTTATAGCCTTAACAGACTTTTGGGGCAAGGGCTGTTAGCGAGCACCTCTGAAGGCCGGCACGTTACACGAGGGGGGTGGGTGGCCAGCACCACGCCCAGCCGCCTTCGTCTCCACTGTGGCGATGTTTACACACCGCACCAGGTACTTATTTGAGTAGAACCCAGAACCAGTTCAGATAATCGTCACTGGTGTTGGCCATGGGCAGACATCGAACTCGGTTCGCCAGATTCGTAGCGCATCACGCCAACCACGCGTAAAAGCACACACACACGCACGCGTACGGGAACAAAAAATGTAATTTTATCCAAAAACAACACTGATCTCATAAAGTCTGATGTTGCTTGCCAAGGGAGTGGCAGAGCAGTCAAAAATCTAACTCAAGTTTTTAATCCACAAGCATTCCACCCACAATACCACAAGTCATCTTACTCACTTCAATCAAGTGTAGCGTGGTCACAAACTGGTGAGCGAGCGAGCTAGCGTTGACCTGCATGCTCACAATGCCGATACCTGGTTTAACAGCTCGCGTGAAAGCAATCTTCACACTCCCAATTGATGCACCGCCAAATGGAATGCCCATGACGCACAAAAACGGAGCACAGAAAGGACACCGATCGCCGTGGCCAGGTTTGCGCTGGTACGCGGTACCTTCAACAAACATTCCACCACTTTCTGTAAATGATGAGAAACTCGCGGACAGAAAACTACGTGGAGGCTGGAAACGAAAGAGTACTAATATGACTTCACAAACGGCGATTCACACGGCAGTATTGTGACTGTAAAATAAATACATCGGTCATCCCAGCATGCATTACACATCACATGAAAGGCACGCTGGGAGCTTATTCACAACGAGTAGAGTAGAGCCATCGTTGTCAAAGAGCAAGGCCACGATTTTTGAATGTTGAGTGCTGGGATGGAGCTCTTAAACAAGACTGCTGCTCACTGCGTGCTGGTGTCATGCGAGCTCGGTCCTCCCGTCATGCCTTCAATGTCACGTGACTTCAATGTCACGTGCCAGGCATGATGGGAGGATCCGGCTTGTGGTCAGTGACATGCCTTGCATGTCACATGACATCACCATGCTGTGTGTGTATATAATTGCACGGCAGCCTCGTTTTAGACGACCGAAGGAGGTCAAAACCGTGGCCATAATATTTGGCAACAGTAGCTATGCTGTGTTTGATGACGATTCCTAACAAGAGTGAAACCGCTGTACATCTGTCTATTTTTCCTCCGCGTTAACCTCGTATAATAGACACAAATTATAGTCGACAAAGCACATTTGTTCTGCCGAGAATCCACCTGTTGAGTGTGGTACGACTCCCTACAGGGCTCCTGGTTCATGCCAAACCAGGTGGGAGAGGAACCCCATGGTGTATGGATATTGAACTTCTTTCGCACCGTTCGTAGCCAACCGTGCTAATCGGAGGTGCGTACTAGTGTTGAGCATCACAGAGGACGGCTGGAAGTTCCGGGACTTCAGTGCCGATGACCGTGTATCTAGCCCCAACTTAAATGATGCCCGCGATGCAAAAAAATAAAAATGTCACGCTCATTAACAAATGGCATGAATAATTTTCCGATAGCGAATTTGAAAAGAAAAAAAGGGACAGATAAATTGATTTTATTTCCACTGCTCTATCTACATTAATTCTCGGTGAAATTGCATCATTACCATTGAGAAGCTGCTTAAGAAGCTCTGGCCGCTCGTGCCCAGCATGGCGGGCAAGACAATCGATGCACTCCCGCGGCTCGCACCCACACAGCAGTTTTATTCCCCACACCTCCGATGAGTGCTGTTGGCTACGTACGGTGCGAAAGAAGTTCAACATGCATGCATACATTTATAAATGCATTTAATCACGTAGAAAAGCTAAGTGGGCACGTTAAAAACACTCGCCTATGAAACAGCATTTAAATCACAGCGTAACAGCTTGCAAAGATGGAGTGGTGGCGCAGTGGTTAGCATGCTGGGATTCCGAATCCGGCGACCCAAATTTGATTCTCGGCCACAGCTAACATCAGTGACGAGCGCTATCTGAACCGGTCCTGCACCCATCCTCACCTTCACCAACCCGCACTGACCAGCCTGGTGAAGTATAGTCAAATAACCTCCATGACCCGACACAGCATTGGGGAGGGGGGGGGCGATAAGACTTTGTCTCGCAGTGCCAGTGGATTGACAAAGGGTTGTAAATTATTGTCATTATACAACAGATTGCAGATGTTGCATTATCGCAAGAGATACACAATGCATTGGAAAGCACATGAATAAAAGGCACAATTTGCACTCTCGTATTCACAAGCAATGTACCCCACCCATAGGAAACAGCCTCAAGGCTCTCTGCACTCTTGAATGAAAGCCAAGGCCAGACGACGCTAAACTTCACTCAACGTTGCCGCCCCATGGCATGTCGCAAAGCAACCGATAATTATTTTTTTATTTTACAAAAAGCATCTTGTTCCAGCCTCAGGTCCACCGCAAGTCAGTCACCGTGGCGAGATGTTAACGACCTCGCCTGGTATGCAAGTCGTGGGTACGATCCCGACCCCGACGCCTGTATATTTGGAGTTTGCGTGTTTTGGATTTTTCTTCCGGTCCCCCGGTTTTTCTCTCCACATTTAGAAACGTGCGTTTAGAGTATTTGGCTGCTATAAATTTCCACACGATCAGCCACTTCGTTGAGCTATCATTTGTGGCCAGGTTGCTTCTGAAAAAAAGCTTCGTAGCTGAGTGGGCCTTACGTGGTAAAATCTAAAATAGTTTCGTTTATCATTCTCGTTTCAGTCGGTTGTCAAGTCTCTCACAAATACTGACATTCAGATCGCTGAACAAATGTGCCCATGTTTAAAAGGTAGAGAGCACATGTGTACCGTGTAATCGGATTGGTCGCAAACCATTTTTTTACGAAAGCATGGCTCCCATCGTCTTCTCCTCCAGGGCATCGATGCATTTCCCCCACCGCCGTGGCCTTCCTGCAATCGCGGATCTATTCACAGTGGCCGGGTGCAGAAAAAGGCCTCATTACTGGAACTGCAGACAAAAAGATGTCCGTCTCCCATGCCAGCTAACTTTAATAACGACACGCAGACAGGGGCTCTTCCGGTCTCTCCCTTTGAGGTGGTGATGGTGGTGGTCGCGACCCTCATCGCTTCCGTGCGGTCCGCCAGTTAATTGGTGCCGCGAGGGATCGTTCCAATTTAAAATGACATCAATTGCAAGGTCGGTCCTAAGTTCTTAAGTTTTCAATTCAGAATTGGCGACCAAGTAGGATGGTCGCATTTTAGGCGCAGCCGATTTCTGGGGTTTCGGCAAATAAACTAAAAACACCACCAGCACCCAGTGCCGGATGATCCTCGTAGCAAAAGTATCTACACGTGCTACGGGCCCCGCGCGTTAAATGCTTTCAAGCTATCAATTCCGGTTCAGTGATTCTGCACTTGCTCTACTACTATAGTACTATACTGCCTTCAACATGCTACAGGCACCGCACTAGCTTAATCTGCAACTGCCTGCACCCCCCCCCCCACCCCCGCTGCAGCATCACAGCAGGATCTGTACCCCAATGGGGCGTTCAGTAGCTCTCACACATCTACTAACTCAGAGAAGTTCACAACTCACACGCTTGATCCAGAATTCATACGCTAAATCCAGCACGATTCATTACGCTTAATCCAGTAAACTCGACTCAACGTTTGTTCACCAACTGCGGAGTCCAAACCGACTCGGTCAGTGAGATGCAGAAACTCCGCCTGCGGCACGAAAACTTCAGCTCAGAATCAGTGGAGCGCAAAAGCTGTAGCAGACACTCGCACCCACCTGCGCGCACACAGCGTATGACAAATGTAACGCAAACACATCTCTCAATACAATACTACATCTGTCATAGCCCACGGATAGGCGGGCAGGCAGGCATACCCAGGCACTTCCATTTCGTCTCTCCAGCCATCACGGGTAGAATCGTTTTCCTTGGCAGTGCATTCAAACCGCGCGGCCTCAATCGCGAGCTCACCTCCGCTCATGGGCGGCAAACACGCGCCGGCTACGATTGCATACATTTCAAAACGCACGGGTCTCAAATAAACGCCACCGTTCATTCTGGCGCACTATTAACAACAACCACCCTTCCAGAATGAACTTTTTAAAAAAGCAAAACTTCAACAACAGCAATAGGTTCATCACGCGTGAAACACGCACGCACGCGCGAAAAAAAACTCATCGCTTCTTCTTCTGCTGCTGCTTGAGCATCTTGCGCCTCCGCAGGATCATCTCGTACAGCTTGTCCAGCCCCTCGGGGAGGCCCTCGCCGATGATGGCGCACGCCGGCTGCAGGTGCCACAGCGCCGCGGGGCCCAGCTCGGCGAGCGCCAGCAGCCGCTCCACCTCGGCGGGCGCCAGCGCCGCCGGCAGGTCCTGCTTGTTGGCCACGACGAGCACGGGCACGCCCTGGCACTCGGGAGTGCGCGCCACGCGGTGCAGCTCCGTGCGCGCCTCCTCCAGCCGCTCGGCGTCCACCGAGTCCACGACGAACACCACGCCGTCGGTGCGGCGCGTGTACGAGCGCCACAGCGGCCGCAGGCGCTCCTGGCCGCCCACGTCCCAGAACTGGAAGCTGACGCCACGGGCGCCGCCCGCCCCGGGCCGCACCTTCTCCATGTTGAAGCCGATGGTGGGCACCGTGTTGACGAACTCGTTGAACTTGAGGCGGTAGAGCACCGTTGTCTTGCCGGCCGAGTCCAGGCCCAGCATGACGATGTGCAGCGAGCGCAGCGTCGCCAGCTTGGCCAGCGGGGAGCTGCCGCCCGATTGCGACGCCCCCATCGTGGCGGTCGGCCCCCCGCGCCGGGCACGGGAGAGGAGCGGGGGGGGGGCAGAGGGGGTCAAGCGGGCCGGACCTCCGTGTCGCCGCCTGCTGCTCGTCCTCCTCACCTTCCTCCCAGATCGCGAGCGAGATAATTATCTCGGGGGCTAGCGTCTTCGTCTGTCTTCCGTCTCGCCGCCGCCGGGAGGCAATTCTTAAAAAGAAATCGCAGACGGATTAAAAACTAAACAATTACGGGTGTTAAATATTAATTCCGGATTCACGTCGTCGTAAAAGGTTTAGCGGCCCTGGATCGATCGGGATCTCCGTTGTTACTGTACGTCATCGTCGTCCGTCGTGATGAATCGTTACGGCGCACTCTGACTGTGGTAATCTGCGAGCACGCACACTGGATGAAGCCGCTTGCTCAATTAACAAAACTCGCATTACAGAGTGTGCTATCGTTCATTGTTATGAGTACAGCAGTCTAACGCGTATTGCGTTAATTGTTCTGCAGATTATTTAAAATGATCATTAACATAATACGTGTTATCACACTTGGGCTTGCAAATGCATCCGAGCGGTAAAATCACACTTTAGCAAATCTCTTTCCCTTAAAAAACACGCACTTTGTTTCACTGGTGCCAAACTCACAAACTGCTGCTGCTGCTGCTGCGACGTAAACATGAAACGCACCGCACTGACGAGGGTTCTGCTGCGGCGAAGGAGACCCGGGTACTCGCCAAACTCGTTGTGACTTGCCCACATTAATAACAACAACAACAGAGCAGCCAGACTTCCGTCACTATCTGGCAGCTGACCCCGAGGCACTCGAAATGCCTCTGCAGACCCTGCCAGCGCAACATAATGGGGCCCTCGTACAACAGGTGGTAGGGACGTGAAGGCATAGGAGGAATGATAGACCAACTCGAGTCATCTGCCCTGCCCAGAGGTCTCAGACAAAGGACATTCCCCCGCAGTTTAACACACAAATACAAAGATCCCCCATATAGACTTTAACAAACTTTTGGGAAAAAAGTGCTGTTTGTGAGCACGTGGAGGTGGGTGGCCAGCACCACGTTGGCCGCCTTTGTCTCCCAAGTGGCGATGTTTACAAACTGCACCAGATACTCATTTGAGGCCAAGTCGACCGAGGGGAGGCCCAGGACCAGTTCAGATAATCGTCACTGGTGTTTGCCGTGAGCGGGAATCGAACTCGGGTCGCCAGGTTCGTAGTGCAGCGCGCTAACTGCTACACCACCGCTCCCCACAGTTTAAAACACACCCACACACACCCACACACAATGTCGCACGGAATAACACGCACAGTCTCTTCAGGAATTTTTACTGCTGGAGCGTTCAGAGGGAGGAGTCGCATGCGATGGACTTGGATGCCGACAGTCTTGTGCGGCCCTTGCTGCCAATCCCATTGCTGCCCGAGCGCCTCCCCACATCATCAAGCGGGTTGTGGGAATGATTCGACCACCCTTCCCATCACGCTGGCTAGTGCGAGTTGGTGAAGATGGGGAGCTCAGGCATGGAAGCACTCTGCAACAGGGGTCCCCAACCCCCGGGCCGTGGATCGGTACCGGTCCGTGGCCTGTTAGGAACTTGCCGAACAGCAGGAGGTGAGAGCGGTGAGTCCGCGCGTGGCCCATCCCCATTATTTTATTATTCACCACTTCCGTCCGCGCCTCTTCCCCGCACCGCGCACTTGTCTCAGCCACAGTGTTGGTAAGCCCACAAGCTCTAGCCCCTAGCCAAAATGAGTAACACACAAACACAAGCACTAACCGCTAGCCACAATGAGTTAAAAAAACAAATGCCGCTGGAGAGCTTCTTTGAAAAGGGGAAAAGACCCAATGATGACCCCCCCCCCCGGGTCCGTGAAAAAATTGTCTTCCACGAAACCGGTTCCTGGTGCCAAAAAGTTTGGGGACCGCTGCTCTACAACAATGGCTTTCTGCTGCTGCACAGTGCTCGCTCTGCTGCTTACGCCTATACAGTGTTCTGCAGTGTCCACACAATAGTGTCTCATTGTCCTTTTCCCGGCTGTATTAGCCTGTGTGGTATTGTTGTCCATATCTCTGTGTGTCTCGGTGTGTTTCTCTTTCCATATTTCTGTATCTGTCTATCTGCGATTCCTTCAAGATTCGAGTGTCTATCACTGCCTTTCTGTCTATGTTTGTGTCTCCATATCTGTTGCGTTCACATCTGTCTATCGTTATCCATCTGCACCTGTTTTTACGGTCCATCTTTCATACCTTGATAAGTGACCATTACGAATGTAATTCAGACGGTGGTACAGCAACAGATTCTTGAGTCTAACTGTGCAGAACTTTGACTGTTACCCTCCTCGTACGAGCAATTTTACTCTGGTACTTTTAGGGAATTCTCCCAAATGTTCAATGCTCATTAGTGCCCAATGGCTACAACATCCCAAATCGGTGACCCTTACAGAAAACAAATTGTCTTCAGACTGTGAGGCTTCCCTAAAATTAAAATTATGATCATGGACATGGCTCGAGCCATCTCCACGGACAGCGCTACTTCCGTTAACGGTTGTCAAGGCTAACAAAAATATCCCGGTAACTCAAGGATTACATTTAATGGCACAAAACGAGACTCCTCGAGACTTGCCGCTTTCTTTCAACTGCCGCGCCGGGGAGAGCGGAACTGGATTGCAAGTCCAAGTGTGCAACCATCACGGCAGAATCGCAGCTCTTGATGTGCGAGAGAGAAAACAATCTTTGCTGCATCGAAGTAATTCCATCAAACGGCACGGCCAGTGTACTAAAACTCACCAACTCTGTGCGGGTTGATATTGTTACAACACACTGTATGCCGATGGTGGCTCTCCCGGTGCCAGATCATTTGAACGCGAGTCTGCAATATTCTATGAATCAAGCAAATCCTGCCGAGCAACATTCAACTTTTCACAATTTAGTTGTGTTCGGTCAACATTGTAACATCTGAGAAATGCCTTTCTCGAAATAGCAGCGAATAGTTTCAACGTACACACGTTCAAGAGCAGAGCCGACGACAACAGCGTCCACAGCGCGTGCACGCACGCAACGCCTTTTGGGGACAACAAACGAATTCGCAGCACCTCCCTGCGTCACGCCGACAAGCATCACCAGGTCCAGGACATCGGTCACCCACCACGCAGAGTTCCTGCAGGAACCACAACCACCGCCGTGTATTTCTCTATGCCAGATGCGAGACTCAAGATTCTTTATTTTCAGCTCATGAGGTTCCGTTGGACGAGCCAGTTCGGTTACGAGGACGACCGCAGCGACAGCAGTTGGAGGACATTTCAGTTACATAGAGATCCATAGAGATCCATAGCATAGAGTTACATAGAGATCCATAACATAGAGTTACATAGAGATCCATAGCATAGAGTTACATAGAGATCCATAGCATAGAGTTACATAGAGATCCATAGCATAGAGTTACATAGAGATCCATAACATAGAGTTACATAGAGATCCATAGCATTGCATACAGATTCGTACAGTTACATGTAGACTCCCGAGTCACATCGAGATCTAAATTGACACAGATTCATAGTGACATGGATATTCAGAGTTACATAAATATTCACAAAGATGCATAGAGTTTCATAGAGATCCAGTGCTACACAGAGACCCAGAGGTACATAGAGACCCAGACTGTGTTAGTTCAGCTGGTAAGGCCCCATTAAGCGAAACAGCTCTGTAACAAGGTTGACCACAGCCCAAGACGGTCGGTAGGGGCGGCAGTTAAAGGGACACTGCAGGATGGGAATGTGCCAAATTAACGAGAGCAAAAACAACAACAAATTATTTACACGAAACACCACGCAGACTTTCCTGCAAATAGTACGAACAATAAAGTGCTTACATGCAGATCAAAATCAACGTAAAGAATGCATTGGCAGGCGTATGGAAACAAAGCAGACATTCAGCTACGGACATAAAGTAGAGAGAGCTTAGCTGCACCATTTACAATCGGGCCCACCGATTAGAAATATTGCGGGTTATCTGTAGATAAAATTAATTCATCTCGTGAATTGTTGACTATTGTAGTGAATAAGCGAACAGGCCTTCAGTGGCTGGAGGTTGTCGCGTGGACGAATTGCATGTTACATTACTTTTAAAAAACATCGATACTAAAACAAGCGATTGCTATATACGCCACAAAAAAGAACAACATGTACACAAGCCACCGTTCGCCAATAAGTGACGGTGACATCACCACTGACTTTGTGCCAGGCTAGGTGCACTTTGAGGCCGTCATGTTAAGTGTGGAGGGCTCGCTGTCAGGAGGTCATGGAACAGAGGTGGTATGGGGTCAAGGATGGCAGGGTAGCAGCACAGTGACAACACTTTTGCCTCGGTAAGAAGGGCCTGGGCTCAATTCCAGACTCGGCGCTTCTGTTTGAAGTTTGTATATTCTCTACCACTGTTTTGCGTGTGGTTTCCCTTCGGATTTTCCGGTTTCTCCCTAAACAAATCACAGTGTAAATGGCATGAGCCACAATAATCCAATGGTGAAACACTGCCAGCAAATTACTCAATTGGGCTTACACGTAGCAAGCATCGCCACGGTGGCGAGATGTTAACTACCTCGCCTGATATACAGGTCGTGGGTTCGATCCCGATCCTGACGCCTCTATATTTGGAGTTGGCATGTTCTCCCCGTGGTCGCGTGGATTGTTATCCGGGTCTTTCCTCCACATTTAGAAACATGCATTTAGTCCATTTGTGTCTGCTATCAATTTCCACATGATACGCCATTTCGTAGAGCTATCATTTGTGGCCAGGTCGGACGCTCCTGAAAAAGTCTTGAGACCTCAGCGACTCTTTCATGGGTAAACAAGTGGAATGATAACAGACTGATATGACTGTGGCACCTTCTGAGCGCACGCACGCACACACACACATACCCACACACACACACAGGTGCATCTCCCATTCCACTTGCATCTCCCGCGAAGCACACATTCCGAACGGCAAAGGGGGTTCAAAGGTTCAGCCAATGTGGCGCACACACTTAACACACACACCCCCCCTTGCCCCTGGACACAATCCCATTACAACAAGCGGCGTGCGCAAGACGCGGCGGAGGCCACGGGCAGAATTGAAGCGTCAGCCGCTCACACATTGCTCGTTACCTTTTCTAAACAGTGCTTCTCGACACTCCAGTTCCTCGCGAGCCAACCCCCATTCACTCACTTGCCCGCCTTTCCACGTTGATCAATCTTCGTGGTAGAAATAGGCAATAACTTTGTTAAATCTAGATTTGAAGTTTTCGTGACTGCAGGGAGCCATACTCTTTGGTTCTTTCGGTAAAGTCACTTAGGTATAAAATAAGTGATTTAATTTATTAAATTTTTTATACCCACGTGATTTACCGACAGAACCGAGGAACATTGTTCAAGTTACACGCTGCACGCGCCCGATGATTGATGGAACGCCCGGGACGCACACTTGCGCACAGACACACACAAAGCAGCCCCTGACCCTGTATAGCCTCAACAGACTGTTGGGGCAAGTGCTGCTAGCGAGCACCTATGTATGTATATAGAACTTCTTACGCACCGTATGCAACCAACCGTGCTAATCGGAGGTGCGGTGGAAGGACAAGGCCGGCACGGTACACGAGGGGGTGGGTGACCAGCACCACGCCCGGCCGCCTTTATCTCCCTGGCGGCGATGTTTACACACCGCACCAGGTACTAATTTTACGCTGAGCTGACCTAGGGGAGGCCCAAGACTGATTCAGTTCATCGTCACTGATGCTGGCCGTGAGCGAGCAGGAGTTGAACTCGGATCGCCGGGTTCGTAGCCCAGTACGCTAACCGCTGCACTACCACTCCCCCATACACTACAAAACAAAGAACCCCCGTCTAAGTTACTACACAGTAAATGTAAACATGCCGAACTTGGCAAAACAAATTCTATTGTCAATGGTTTGTTTAAAATTAACATAATAAACTCTGAATTGCTTATACAAAGATCCCCCGTATAACCTTAACATACTGTTGGGGCCAAGTGCTGTGAGCGAGCACCTATTAAGACCGGCACGGCACACGAGGTGGTGAGGGTGGTCAACACCACGCCCGGCCGCCTTTGTCTCCCCCAGTGACGATGCTTACACCCCACACCAGACATTAATTTGAGGCCGAGTCGACCTAGGGGAGGCCCATGACCGTAGCACACTACCGCGCACACCCACACGAGCTCCATTTCTATTTGGATCAAGCGCACCCCCCTCCCCCCCACGCGTGACGCACATCGCACGCACACACACAGATCCACATGTCCCAGATCCTACCGATCATCAGGCGCGTGCAGCGTGTAAACGAATGACCCCGATTCGTAGATTTGAACGATTTGCTCGAGGTTGAGCGCGATCGGGGGGGGGGGGTGCTTCTTGAATCACGACGGCAGTGGAGCGAGGGAGGGGGGTCGTCACTCCGCCAGTTACTACGCATTTGAGAATCCGGGGGTAAGAGAAGCAGAGCGCGTTTCACTTCCAACTCTCATGGAGGTCGAGACAACAAGACTCGCGCCTCGTCCTGTCGCAGGGATCGCATCGTGGGGAGGGAGGGAGGGGGGCGGTCAAATCCTCTATTCAGACGCAGTTGAGCAACACGGCGTGGAATGTCTCCGCACAGCACCGTGAGCCATCGTCCCACCGTGGCAGATTACAGCGATCGCCGTAGCCAGCCGTGTCTTACCCCCCCCCCCCCACCATTACTTGCTGCTGGGTGAGTAACAGGTAACCGCAACGGCGCAGACACAGTAGAAAGTAACCCAAGAAGGCAGCAACAGGCGTCAACTTCAGTTGCGTCTAAAAAGGCGAGCCGTGCACGATACCGGCTGTGCCGATCGTTCGGCGTGTCGGAGTGCGCGCGCGTCAATGCGCAGCGAGATGCATTACGCGACTCGCGAAATGGTTAATTTGTTGTTGTGAATATTTAAGCCTAAAAGTGGGTCATTGCCTCTATGGCTCCCACCCCCGCGGTTACGCACAACGCCCGCACCCCAGCTCTCACCGGCGCGACTGCGTCCGCGCGTGTCCTCTCTGCTCCCAGGTCCCAGGTCTCCGATGCCAGAGTCGGGATGTCGTCCCGAGGCCCGGGTCTCACTCGCGGGGTCCCCCCTCGTGGGGAGCCGCGCTGCTGCCCGGAGAGAGGCCACGCCGCTGGCAGCTCGAGTGCAGCGCGACGTAGCGAGCGAGATGCAGCGACACCTCCCCACAGAAGCTCTCTCTCTCTCTCTCCTCCTCCTCGTCGCCTTCCCCTCCTCCCCTCCCCTCTCTCCTCCCCCGAGACTCTCCCCCTTATCGCGGGCGTGAGTCATGGGGGGGAGGCGGGGACAGGGGTCTCATGAATAGGGGCCGGACTGAGCCGAGGCGCTCCGTGCTGGGTGGGGGGAACAAAGCACTGAGCAGAGTCCATGCCCCACTGTGGGTGTGATGGAGGTGGAGGATGGGGAGGGATGGAAAGGGATGGGTAACAGGGGCGGGCCCCGGTGACCCTGTATTTCGGGAGGACTATTGAAGGTACTACTACGACTAGTTTTTTTTATTTTACCAGGTAAGACCCACTGAATTGTGTAGATATTTTTTTTCAGAAGCAACCTGGCCACAAATGACAGCTTAACCAAGTGGCCTATCGTGACTGCAGGGAGCCATACTCTTGTTTTTTTCGGTAAAGTCACGTAGAAGGGAACTAATAAAATAATAAAAACAATACATTTTTTTATATTTTGTTATTTCCCTTCTACGTGACTTTACCGAAAGAACCAAGAATATGAATCCCTGCAGTCACGAAAGCTTTAAATCGAAAAGCAGCCAAATAATCTAAACGCACGTTGATTCTACAAGCGGAGGAAAATCCACGCGACCACGTGGGGAGAGACACCGCAAACTCCAAATATACAGCACGCGTCAAGTGACTCGAACCGTCAATTTTTTTATCATGCCCCCTAAAACCAAGCTCAATACAAGATATGTATCATTTTTTGTATCGTACTATACTGTTTGTAGTTGGCCGCTTAGTAATGTCTGGGGTCTTTGAAGTGACCTTGAAAGCCAAGGAACAGTGTGCCAGAGCGGCTGCATCTCTGCCCCGCCATCTACGGTCTGGGGCTAGAAGGAATCGGTGCACAGCCATGGGGTGAGGACGCCGCAGGACGTGGCGTGTTGCATGCATTCGGCCCGTCGCGTTGGGCAAGACTCCCAGGCATCTGGCCCCCCGGGTTATGTAATTCACGCAAATTAATTGTCGTTCAGAGTTGTATAGTGCGCGCGTCTGCTTCTCGAAGGAGGTGCCCGTCAAATTGTAAAATTTAAATCACAGTTCCTATGATCATTGTTACATTGTTTTTATTGCTTTAGTTTGGTGATTTCGAAAACGTTTTGGTTTAGCCATATTTGTTTGTTGTAGTACAGAGTTAGACTGATAACTTTAATCTAAATTGTCTTGTGGTTGTTATTGTTTGACTTGCATCCCACTGGGATTTTTGCACACAGCGTTGATAAACGGTGCTTTTTCTGGAAGACTTTGCTGTTTTTTCCTGGATTTTTCTGATTGCGCGTAGTCACTTTAAGATGTTTCTTGTTCATGTTTTTGTTTGGTGCGGTTGCACCCGATTCAAGAGCCGAATGGCTCACAGGGCTCACAGTGCTATACCAAATAAATGAAACTGAATTCTAGTAAAGAGACCGTTTGGAACTTCTATTGTACGACAGGTGAACGTGTCGTCAAAAAGTTTGCACATTCCAGCGGCGGATAGACAAAAGGGGATGTCGTTCAATAGCATGGAACTTACACGTCATTATATTTCTCGAATGGACGGTAGTCAATTCACGACACGTTAAACCAGAACTTGTTTTGTTTACACACGAGTCAGAGCCCCGGGCCCCGCGCCTTTGGGGGCAACCGCGCTTAGGCGTCAGATGTGACACGTCTGGTTCCGTTTGAAGGCATCGGGGTGGTCCACGCGGTGTGGGTTTTCCCCGGGCCCCTCCCCCCCCCCCCCTCCATGTACGATCTTGACTATAGTATGATCTGTAATATAAAAGTACCCTTCCTTGAACGACGATCCTTCCCGACCCTCAACGTGCCCACCTCCCCATCGCTGAGTGCCCCCTCTCATGCGTGACAACCCCCCGGTCGACCCCCCCCCCTAACCGCATATCCCCCCAGCCCCCCCCCCCAGACCTGCGCCCCCCCCCCTCGTGTAGCCCTCCCCGTGCGCACCAGCGAGGAAAAAAAAATATATAAACTGGAGTATAACGTAATCATGTTGCAATCGAAACGTCGTGATTTAATTTTCATTTTTATTTTATTTTCTTTACCTACGTGACTTTTACCGAAAGAACCAAAGAGTATGTTGTTTACACTTCTAATTGTAAGCCGGTGATCCATGCTGCGTAAAAACAAACAAACAAAAATTAACCCGTAAAAACAAAGTTTTTCACTATAAATCCTTTATATGCGTGGCGGCTAGAGTCCTCTCGTCCTCTGGCTTGAGATGGCTGCCACATATGGGTCAGATGATTGCCTGGCACCATTAAGCAATTGGTAATTAAATATAAAAATAAAAATTCCTAAAAAGTGTACAATTTTGGGAAAAAATTTTCACGAAAATAAATTGTCACGCACAACGAGTCTGTGTGCAAAATGTCAGCTCGATTGGATCACGGGAAGTGGATTAAAAAACGACCGAAAGATTTGTACGGTCGTAAGCGCGCAAGCAAGCAAGCAAGTGAACTTAATATAAAGGGTTTAAAAAGTTGAACCCAAAGGCGAGAACGCGCCCCAGAAGATGATCACCGCGAACATAGATGGAGCAACGAGCAATCGAGATTGATTGTAGCATCGCAGGGCCGCGTGAGGGATGGCAAACGAGGGGGGAGGCTCTCATCCAGCAGTGGGTAGAACACGGCTGATGGAATGAAGAAGGTTGCACGAATGTCAATTCGGCGATTTCACGCGATCTTTTGACCGAAGTGCAGGACATGGCCCATACGCCCCCTAACGCATCCACACTCCAAACACACACTGCGCTCTCCCATTGCGGCTACAGACGGTCAGCTTGTATGTAGGACTCTTACTCTTTGGTTCATTCGGTAAAGTCACGTAGAAAGAAAATAAATTAAGTAATAAAATACGACGTTTCGATTGCAACACAAGCAATCGTCATCAGGTACGAATGAATGACAAAACAAACCTAGTAAATTTAGAAATATAATGCAATACAACACAGAGAGTCGGCTAACACAACAGTCAACACCCTACCTGGTTGATTACGTTCTTACAAAGATTGCTAAATTTGAGAGAGAGACAAAACATGTAGCACCATGTGTGTATCTCTCTCTGTGTGTGTCTCTCTCTCTGCTTGTGTCTGTCTATGTGTCTCCGTGTCTGTGTTTTGTGTCTCTCAAATTTAGCAATCTTTGGAAGAACATAATCAACCAGGTAGGGTGTTGGCTGTTATGTTAGCCGACTCTCTGTGTTGTATTGCAATATATTTCTAAGTTTACTAGGTTTGTTTTGTCATTCATTCGTACCTGATGAAGTTTGCTTGTGTTGCAATCGAAACGTCGTATTTTATTATTTTATTTCTACGTGACTTTACCGAAAAAAACAAAAAGTGATTCTTGCAGTCACGAAAGCTCCAAATCAAGTTTGGAGTACTCTTGTCAAACACATTCCTGCAGAGGGAGCTGGTAGGAACGTTGGGTTGCTCGGTCAATGGCCAGGGTCAACGGTGGCGTGGTGTATTCCGCAAATATGCCCGACTGTGAGGGCGGGCACACGCCGGCGTGAGTAGGTGAAACGTTGAGTTTTATAAGGGGACCACGGGGTGACCAGCCCCTCCCCAGACAGCCCCACCCAGCCCCACCCTCCCCACCCAACCCCTCCCCATCCTCCCCACCCAGCCCCTCCCCACCCTCCCCACCCAACCCCTCCCCACCCTCCCCTCCCCTCCCCACCCAGCCCCTCCCTGCACGACGGACGGACGGACACAATAATCCCCTGTGGGCTGGTGTAACCAGGAGGTTCCTACCAGTATAACATCTGGTAACCCAGCAGCAGCTGTTTCACAAGCCAGACTCTGCTGATGAGGCCCAAAAGGCACAAACCGGTTGGAAGGTTTTCCTCGCTTGGACAAATGCACCTTGATAACATGTTGGCCCTTTAAGCGAATAGGCTGCTAGGAAATACAACACTTGTATTCACTCAATTTCATTTATACGCGCGCAGAGCTCCGTTAATGTTCTCGTTCATTAAGAGCACTCAGCGGAGGTAATCGGAGGCGCTCGCTTACCACGTGACTCGCGCGCGCCACGGTTCATCGGCACGGACATCACGGCGCGATGGAAACCACGAGCCAGAGGGCGCTTATGTCAGCGACTTGTTCGCGCGAGAAGGCGCTAGTGGCTTTTCTAATGCGCTCGGCAATTATGTGGCAATGGCCGTGATGGTGTGCCGCCTTGCCTTGAAACGATGCGCCCGGGAAACGCTTCGCCCGATCTCGTTGGATCTCGGATGCCAAGCAGGTTTGGGGCCGTCCATAAATGACGTCACGCACCTGGCGGGGGGGGGGGGGTTAGACATTTGTGACGATGTGTGACGATAGGGGGGGGTTGAGAAATGTGACGTCACATCAAAATGCGCAACTTTAGATAAATATAGACAACACGTTCTACTTAATTAAATATACTTTTTAATACATGTTTTCTCCTACAACATCAGAGTGCAGCGCCACATTAAATACGCACTACAATGACAATAGTTTAAAGCCATTTGAAGCATGTTTTATTTTTTTGTGGGGGGGGGGGGAGGACAGAGCTTGGTGACGTCATATTTGAGGGGGGTCTGACTTTTTGTGACGCCGTGTGACGAAGGGGGGGGGACAAAAATCGTCCAAAATCGCGTGACATCATTTATGGACGGCCCCTTTGAGCCTGGATCGGGTTTGGTTGAGTGACAGATGTGCACACCACATTGCCATCGGGAGTTGCTGCGTTGTGGGCAGAAACATATATGTGTACATTCTCATGCATGTGCTCCCCGCCTTCATAATCCCACACTCACCTGTGTGGCGAGATATATAATAATCTCCACTGCCCACACGGCTTGGGGAGGCTTTCATCCAACACTCGATTGCGATAACAAAAGTCCATGTCGGGTTGAGCCTGGATGGGGTTGGACAGGGCATGAGGTGTGCTGGCTTCGGCTTCATTTCTCCAACGCATGAAGAAAAAAATTTGCAGTTGTGAAGCAGCCTTGCAATTT